CGTTAATAGTTCTAGAAGTTTTTGTAGTCTCCCTTAGATTTTCTGTGTAGGCAAGCATACCATCTGCGAATAAAGACATTTTTACCTCTTTCCACTCTGTCTGCATTTTATTTCTTTTCCTTGCCTTATAGAAATGGCTAGAACATCCAGTACAACGTTGGATAGCAGCGAGAACAAACTTGCCTTATTCCTGATCTTAGGGAGGGAACGCATTTAGTCCTCCATTATTGTTATGGACTGAATGTTTATTTCCCCCCAAAATTTATATGTTGAAGCTCTAACTTCCAGTGTGGCTATATTTAGAGATGGGGCCTCCAAGGAAGTAATTACAGTCATGCATCACTTAATGATGGGGATACTTCTGAGAGATGATTAAGTGATTTTGCTGTACAAACATCGAGTGTACTTACACAAAGCTAGATGGTTTAGCCTACTATACACCTCGGCTATAAGGTACTAATCTTATGGGACCACCATCATACATGCAGTCCGTCATTGATCGAAACGTTGTTATGCAGCACATGACTCTAAGGTTAAATGAGGTCATAAGGGTGGGGCCCTGATCCAATAGGACTAGTGTCCTTATAAGAAAAGACATCAGAGAGCTAACCCTCTCCCTCCACCCCCATGACCTGTGTTCATGCACCAAGAAAGACCATGTGAAGATATAGTGAGGAAGCCATCTACAAACCAGGAACAGAGCTGTCATCAGAAACCAAGTCAGCCAGAACCTTGATCTAGGACTTCTAACCTCCAGAGCTGTGAGAAAATAAATTTATGTTGTTTAAGACACCTGGCCTATGGTATTTTTTATGGTTGTTCTAGCAAACTAATACAAGTTCTTTTGGCTCAAAGTTTTTCATGGGATTGCACTTAAGCTGTGAGCCAGGATCATCTTAAGGCCTGAATGGGGAAGGATCAACTTCCAAGCTCGTTTACATGGAATTGGCAGGATTCAGTTCCTTGTGGGGTGTTGGACTGAGGGGCTTCATTTTTTACTAGCTGTTGCCAGGAGGCCTCTCTCAATTCCTTGGCACAGGGGCCTCTCCATAGGGAAGCTCACAATATAGCAGCTGGCTTCCATCAGAGTGAGAGAGAGGGAGTAAGGGAGCGAGGTAGCAAAAAAATGAGAGGGCAAGAGAGGTTGCCCAAGATAGAAGCCAGTCTTTTTCTTACCCTAATCTCAAAAGTGACATCCCATCACCTTTTCTATTAATTAGAAACGTCACTAGGGGCTGGCCCAGTGGTGTAGTGGTTAAGTTCGTGCATTCTGCTTTGGTGGCCTGGGGTTCACAGGTTCAAATTCTGGGCGCAGACCAACACACCACTCGTCGAGCCATGCTGTGGTGGCATCCCACATACAAAATAGAGGAAGATAGGCACAGATGTTAGCTCAGAACCATTCTTCTTCAGCAAAAAGAGGAAGACTAGTTAGCTCAAGGCCAATCTTCCTCACACACACACACAAAAATATCATTAAATCCAGCCCACACTAAAGGAGAGGAGATTACAAAAGGGCTTGAATACTAGGAGGTGGGGATTGTTGGGGGTCATCTTAGAGGCTCCCTACAATAAGCTCTCAATAGCCAAATCTAGGACAACTTGAGCAACATATAAATAACAATACTAATGGATTAAAACTGATAGAATAAAAATCCATGAGTCCACACTGATATAAACAAAATACTTGAATAAATAAACGAGGGAGAAAAGACAGCCCTTCCTTACAGTAGAATTCCAATTAATAAATGTAGAAAGAAAACTAGAAATAGAAAATTAACATTTGGTAAACACCACAGTAATAACTGATGTAGGCAAGAAGGGAATCTAAAATTACCACATGAAAGTAAGATTGAAAAAACAAATAGGGTATTCACATAGCCTCAAAGTTTCTCCCAAGCTACTTATTAATTTAAAAAGAAAAATTTTTATCTTTACAGTGGAGAAATATGACAAATATCAACTTAAAGTGATCAGACTTTACCAGTAACAAGACTTACCAATGTCATGTACCTCCTGGTACGACGCACTGAGGGCAGAACATCACTCTGTAACAGTCTTGCCAAAAATGCATAACCTTAATCTCATCAATCAGAAAACCCAAACTGAAGGATAGTCTACAAAATAACTTGCCCATACTCTTGAAAAGTGTCAAGGTCATCAAAGACAAAGAAAGACTAAAGAATTGTCTAAGATTGCAGGATGCTAAGGTGACAAGACAAGCAAATGCAACATGGGATCCTAAATCGGATCCTGGATCAGAAAAAGGCTGTTAGCTGGACAATTAGCAAAATTTAAGTAAAGTCTGCAAATTAGTTAATAGTATTGTATACACGTTAATTTTCTGGATTAGATAATTGCATTACAGTTATGTAATATGCTAATATTAGGGGAAGCTGGGTGAAGGGTATACAAGAACTGTGTATTGTTGTTATTCTATTTTAAACAGCTTTACAGACATAAAATTTACCCATTAGTAATCACTCCCTATTCCCTACCCTCCCTTAGCCTTAGGCAATCACTAATCTACTTTCTGTCTCTGTAGAGTTGCCTATTCTGGACATTTCATATCAATGGAATCACACAATATGTGGTCTTCTGCGACTGGCTTCTTTCATTTAGCATGTTTTCAAGGTTCACATGTTGAATTGTGTCCCCCCAAAATATGCTGAAGTCCTAATCTCCAGTACCCGTGTATGTGACTTTATTTGAAATTCGGGTCTTTGCAGACGTCAAGTTAAGATGAGGTCATTAGGGTGGGCCCTAATCCACTATGATTGAGTCCTCATAAAAAGGGGAAATTTGGACACAGAAACAGACACACATACAAGGAAGACAATGTCAAGACACAAGGAGAACACCATCTGTAAGCCAAGGAATGCCTGAGGCTACCAGAAACTAGAAGAGAGATGTGGAAAAAAGATCCTCCCTCACAGCCCTCAGAAGGAACCAACCCTACCAATACCTTGATTTCAGACATCTAGCCTCCAAAACTGTGAGACAATAAATTTCTATTAAGCCACCCAGTTTGTAGTACTTCGTTACATCAACCACAGCAATCTAATATACCCATGTTGTAGCATATATCAGTACTTCATTCTTTTTATTGCCAAAATATTCCATTTTGTGGATATATCATATTTTGTTTATCCATTAAACATTTGGGTTGTTTTGACCTTTTGGCTATTATCAATCACACTGCTATAAACATTTGTGTACAAGTTCCTGTGTGGACATGTTTTAATTTCTCTTGGGTATAAACCTAAGAAAGGAATTGCAAGGTCATATAACTTTAACTTTTTAAGGAACTGCCAAACTGTTTTCCAAAGTGGCTGCACCATTTTACATTCCCACCAGTAAAGTGTGCAAGTTCCAAATTCTCCACATCTTCACCAACACCTGTTATTGGCTGTCCTTTTGATTATAGCTATCCTAGAGGGTATGAAGCGGTATCTCATTGAGTCTTTGATTTGCATTTCCCTAATAACTAACAACATTGAGCTTCTTTGTTTTATGTGCTTATCGGCCATTTCTATATCTTTGAAGAAATTCCTATTCAAATCCTTTGTTCAGTTTTTAATTAGTTTGTCTTTTTTATTGAGTTGCAGGAGTTCTTTATATGTTCTGGACCCTTATCAAATACATGATTTGCAAATATTTTCTCCCATTCTGTGGGTTGTCTTTTTGCTTTCTTGATGGTGCTGTTTGAAGCACAAAAGTGTTAAATTTTTATGAAGTCCAATTTATCAATTGTTAAATCTTTTATTATATTTACGATACTTCTGTACATCTAAAACTACTTCAAAATAAAAAACTATGTATAAAAGTTTATGTAAAAAGCTTAGAAGACTATGCGCTAAACTACCAACAGGAAGCAGAAATGGAATTTTTCATTTGCTATTCAACACAATTCCGTTTCTTTTCTTTTTCCTGGATTTCTTTTCCGGATTATACAAGTGATGCAGATTCTCTGTGGAAATTTTGGAAATTAACATCATTAGTAAACTCACCATCCAGAGATAACCATCGTTGTCACTGAAGTTTATATTCTTACACAAATATATAAACATTTATAAAAATTTGGGATCATTCGTTCTATGAGGGGAGAGCCACGTAAACAATTCGGGGATGGACGACTCACTGACTAACAGGAACACCAAGAAAAGGTGCTCCACCAGGGGCATTCAGGGGGGTGATGCTTGAGCTCGCCTTGCAAGGTGAGAGATGGCTCTGCTTTGGGGGAAGGAAAGAGGGAGCTTTCCGGACAGAGGACAGCCACGAGTAAAGGAACGTAATGAGAGCATGATGGAAACCCTTCATAGTAAGCCAGCTGGACCATACTGGATTTTGAAGAGCCTTATGCGACAGGGTGTAATCCTTGTAGGCCGTGGGGCATCCTTGTCGAGTTTTGGGCAAGGGACACGGCTAGGGACCATGGAAACGTCTATAATACATTTTATATTCTGACTGAGTACACACACACAGGTGACCATATGTTGGCCAGAGACAACCCCAGATTACACCTTTGGGCCTAGAGTAATTATACTGCACTCCCCTTTCACTCCCAAAAATGCATGATTTTGGAGGATGCGTGTTATCATCTACACACATACACACAACGGAACTTGCACACTTCTCACCTTTACTATGTGAGATGCACTAATATTTTGTATTCTGTATTATTCCAGTTTTTAAATGTTGGCTGCAACCCGTTAAACTGATTTCGTGACACACTAATTGTTCCTAATCCCCAGTTTGAAAAACTCTAACCTAGATACCTGCCAGGTCTTGGGAAAACGGGAAGGAGACAGAGAATTAAGTTTGGATGTGCAGTGTAAGGCCGTGGTTCTCAGCCTAGGCAGCGCCATAAAATCACCCGAAGCATTACTGAAAACGCACACCTCCAAGCCCACTGCATTTAAAACTTTGTTATGTGTATTTCTACGGAAAGAGCTGTGACATATTTGACACGTAACACGTAAAAGGGTATGAATACTTACAGACTTAAGTTCAAAGCAGAGCTGAGAACCACTATTTTCAGGAGTACGCGACAGCCTGGGAGGGAAGCCCAGGAGGCAAGGACAGGGAGCACGGCCGCCGGCCCCTCCCAGGTGCTCGGCGAGTCACTGTTAAACCAACGAGCGCCCCTCTCTCCGCCGGCCTCCCCAGACCCTCGCTGACCCGGGGGCTGGGCCGCAGCGGGCGCCACACAGCAAGCGACAGACGACGCGGCCGCTCCCGCTCGCCAGGCCCACTCCGCTCGCCCGCTCCGGGACGCGCCAACCGCAGGACGCCGGCCCCACAGTGCCCCGCGGCGCGCACGCGCAGGCGGCCGTTCCCGGCTTGCAGCGCTGCGCCGAGGCCGAGCCGGCAGCGGGCAGCCTCTGGCAGCCCGGGGCCGAGCCGCCCCCGTCTCCAGCAGCTGGGGTAGGATGGCGCTGAAGCGGATCCAGAAGGTAAGGGGCCCTCCCCCGCTAGGGCTTCTTGCGAGTCCGAAGCGTCGGGGTCTGAAGCCTCAATTCGCGGGCGGGGGCGCCGTGGCCCCCAAGTGAACAGCGGCTGAGGTGAGCAGACCACGGCGACCCCTGCCGGGGGTGGGGGGGGGAGGCGGAACCGCCGCCGGCGCGGCCTTAAAAGGGCACGGCGCGGCGCGCGAGGCGGGGCCAGCGTCACGTGGGGCGGTGGGGCGGGGTTGGAGGGGCGTGGCCGGAGTCACGTGGGGATTGCGTCAGGCTGGCAGGTTGGCTGGTGGGCTAGGCGGGGCGGTAGGGCGAGTTGACGGTGGTGCCTGCTGCGATGTTTAGACTCAGGGCTCTGTCGTTGCCTGTCCCGGGCCACGAGAAGGCGCCGGTTGTCTGAGGAATGAGGGCTCGCCCTTGTAAAAGTGTCGGGAGGGCTGGGCGGGGGAGTCGTGGTTGGAGCTGGGTCCTAAGGAATGAGTTGGAACTCTGCAACTGGAGAAAAGGGACAAGGGCGTTCTCGGCCACAGGAAGACCGCGTGGCTTGGCTTGGGGCCCAATGAAAATGACCGGAGCAGGATGCTGAAGCAGGGGCTGGGAGTGGGTTAATGGGCCTGGACTGGGTCTTAGGGCCAGTGCTGGGATAACTGTTTTTTTATCTTGTAGGTAACTGGGAGTCGTTATAGGCGATTAATATATTGTCAAACTAAAAAGCAAATTCCTGTTATTTTATCCTCAAAACGAATTTATTCCAGAATACCCAAAAGAAATGCAATTCAGAATGTACATGCTATGGCAAACCATAGGCAAATCCGGAAAACTTTTTTAAAAGAGGGTTGCTGCTTTTATAGAGAGAAAGAGATGGGGGAGGGTGCTGTTCTAAGTGAAAGTGCATTGGGGGAAGGTAACATTTCAGGGAAGCAGTGGCTTCTCATTGGCTGAGCTTGTCATTTCTCATTGGCTGGGCTGTTGCTAGGTTGAGAGAGAAATCTTCCTTCAGTAGTAAAGTAGTTTTACTTCCTGTCCAAGATGCACGCAGGTCTCTTCCTGTTTGGTGTATGATGTGGTGGGAGAGCTCCCCATACAGGGCTTCGCAACTGTGATTTAGTTATGATTTCTTTTATTAATTCCCATGATATTAACTAGAATTTGGAAAATGCACAGTAGTAGAAGAAAGAAAACATATTCCCAATTCTACCACCTTACCATTTGTTGACATCCTAGCATATCTACTACCAGTCTTTTTCTTATACTTTAAAGAAAATAATCATACTGTATTTTGTATCCCACTTTTTTCACATAGCCTTAAACGTGAGCATTTTCCATGTTGTGAAACAGTATTCATAGTCATAATTTTTAACACTAACTTTCTGTAAGAAAGTGACCAGTAACTTAATCATTACCTGTAGCGAGTAAACACATGGACATGGGTGTTGAGGGACCTGGGGTAGAGAATGAGGTCACCTGTGGTAGGACCACAGGCAAGGCACTTAATCGTTCCCAGCCTCTGTGTCCTATATAGAGTTGTTTTAAGACTTAAATGAGATGATACATGTTTAACACATGCTTGGTATATATCAAGCACTAAATATGAGTTAACTGCCATTGATATTCTAAATTCTTCATAAGAGTGCTGTGATGAGCATTATTGCACAGTAGGCTTAGATTTGATTACCAGAGATGGAATTACAGGATCTCTAAGGGTGTGACTCATTTTTTATAATTAGCTCTCCAAAAAGGAATTTTTTTGGCAAATTATTCTCTAAAGGGGTCATCTGTCATCCTAGGACTTTGAACCCGGTGAATCACATGCTCAGATCTGTGTTATAACAAGATCCTTCTGGCGGTGATGTGGCCTGGAGTGGGCCAGAGACTGGTGCAGAGGGAGAGTAGAGGTTATTGTGAAAGTCCAGCAAAGGCTTTGCCCAGATTAATGACTGTGGAATGGATACCAAGGCAACGGCAGTACTTGAGTGACATGGCAGAGGTAGAATTGACAGGACTTGAAGAAGAGTATGTGGTGTATCCATCCACAAGATGGATAACTGGGTAGATGGTGGTGTCATTGCCTAAGATGAGGAATCAGAAGTTTTGAGGACAGGGAGCAGGGTGGGGGAGATAAGGAGTGTAGGTTTGAACCTAGATGTTTGAACACGTAGCCTGATCATATTTATAAAAGGGAGAACTAGGAGAAACAAGTTAGGACCTTGAGGCTGAGATGGCAGCCATAGATATAAGGTAATTGAAGTCAGAAGGCTAGGGAGAACTTGCCTTGACAGGAATCAATAAAGGAGGAAACCAGAGCTGGCTTCCTGGGTATGTGACCTATATTGTCTCACAGGGCCCTTCGCTGTGAAGAGCCCTGTCCCTGGGTTAGTGCTCTGCAGTCACCATCTTGAAATTCAATAATTATTGAAGAAGAGACCCTGTATTTTCATTTTGCATGAGGACTCTGAAAGTTATGTAGCAAGTCCTGGAAGAAACAATGCAATGGTAGGAAATGTCTTGAAAAATGTGTCCAGTGCACGGTGGTGAGAAGGCAACACTGGGACAAGTTAGGAAGCCTTGGCTGCAAGTGACAGAGGCCCAGCTGCCCTGGCTACAGAATTGGAGGTCCACAGGACTTTGGGAGTGACTTTGGGGCTCCTGCTCTGTTTCCATGAGATTCTCTGGACTGAGCAGCTCTGGGCCCCATAGCCCACTGGGCATCCCCTAAGAAGAAGAGAGACGCTGGCTTCCAGAAGTTCTCTGAGAGCCAAGAAAATCTTTTTTTTTTCCTTTATCTACTTGTTATGAATTAAGTTACATGCTCATTCTTGAACCAGTGAGTGCCAAGACTGCTTTTAGAATGTCTGGTTACTGCTAGACCTGGAGCTGAGGGTGAGTCATCGTCTCCTAAGAGACCAGAACTGAACAGGAGCTCTGCAGGAAGGAGGAAGGGGGTGGTGCCAGCAGTCTAAGGCCTGAGTCAGGAGAGTGGCCTTGCACTAGCTGCCCCCTTAGCTCCCAACCCACAGCCCTTGCCAGCCAACTTCATCCCTTTTTTATAAACTGTTTCCAAAGAGTTGAATATTTGTAGATGAACTTTCGCTTTATTGATAAAATATTTCCCTCAATTAAACAAGAGTACTCATTTAAAAAATCTGACTATGTGTCAATGTAATGTTTCTAAATGTCTTCAATAGGGACAGGGATTTATGTGGCAGCATTACATTTATGTTTATACTATTAATGATAATTATTTTTTGCTTTCTAAAGCAATGCATGTTCTATAGAGAAAATTTGGAAAATGTCCCAAAATGTAATTTTTTAAAAAGTCGTCTATAGCCCTGTGAGGTAGTTGTGGTTAACATTTTGATAGATTTCATTCCAGTCTTTTTGCTGTGCGTGTGTTTCCAATTGTCGTAGTCACATGGTACATCAAATTTTACATTTTGCCTTTTTCTTCTCTTTTTTCCTTAAGGTTGTATCATGACATTTTCTCCTGTTACTCTGTAGTCTTTAGAAACTATAATTTTCAATGATTGCATAATGCTTGATTTAGCTTTTCAAAAAAAGTTTACTTTTTCTTGTTATAAATGATAATTGTTCTATAGAAAGAACTTGGAAAATCAGGAAAGTATAGATAATACCGTATTTTATCTGCTCTAAGATGAACATTTTTTCACATCTCTGAAATTGGGATGCTTCTTAAAATCACTGTCAGCCAGCCAGCAGTTGTGACTTAGTTGTCACCGTCTGTATGCATGAGCCAGATCATGGTAGTGCATACTGAGATAAGTGAATTGTTGGTGTGTTGGCTTTAATTGCTTTAAAAATGTCTTCAAAAAAAATACTGTGATTTAGGATTGAAAAGAAAAGCTTTTGTGAACACAGGCACAGAAACAAAACAGTGGGGAATCAATTTTATATTCATGGAATAAATATTTATTATTGGAGGAAAGATTGCAATTCCCTCTATTTCCCTGCCAAGCCAACCAATGCTCCATAAACCCCAGAAAGGAAGGTACCATTGACCCTCAAGTCAGTGAGGCTGGGTCACCTTTACTTGCTGAGGTTTGTGCAAAGAGATTGTGTATCATGGACCTTTGCAGAATGGGTATCAATGGCTCGGAAGAAAACTCCAGAAACAATAGTGGAGGCCTCTTTAAGAATCGCCACATTACCATTGCTTGGAAAGCACAGAGGATGGTTGTGAGAACATCCATGGCCCAGGGTTGACATTAGACTCTAAGTGGGAAGAACCAATTTATTTATTTCACTTGTTTTTCCTTTCTTGTGTGTGTGTATGAGTGATAGTTGATTAAAAAAAAAAAAAAAAAAAAAACCTATGCCCAAGTAAGCTTAAAAGAATTCTTTCAATAAAAATAATTTTAAAATAAAATTGGAAGTTTTAAGTGAAAGAAAGCATTCGGTCTTAGTTGAATTGCCAGTGTGTTTTCTTCCTTAGTTGTACATAAAATAAAGTCGTGACTGACAGCAGATGCCATCTTGCATTTGATGAAATGCAGTAACAGAGCAAGCTTGTCTGCTGGTTTGCTTAGCTACTCTCCTCTGTAACACACTAGACTTTCCTTTCTTTCCTTTTTTGAGGGAAAATAATTATTTTAACGTGCATAGTCCTTTACAATTAATAAAATATTTTATATAGTTATTGGATAGGTAATAAATAGCCATGGTTCAAAATTCAAAAAGTACAGAAGAGTCTACAGGAAAATTCTCCCTTCCACGTCCCCAGCCATCCAGCTCCTCTCCCTAGGGGTGAACAGTGTTAGGAGGTTCTTCAGTGTTCTTCCAGGACTAGACATCTTCCACCCATTCCTCATCCCTCTTTTTATGATACTAATGAAAGCATCTTCTATGCACTGTCTCCTTGATTTTT